TTGCGAGGGTGGGGGGATGCGGGGGTTGGGGCGCAGCCCACCATCCCATGTAGGAGTCGAATCGGCAACCTTGTTGTTAAGAGCAGGCACTCTAACCAATTGAGGCATCCAGCCACTCAGCTCAAGGTGCCATGTTCAATCTTAGTTGCAGGGGAGGGGTGGTGGTGCAGTCCACCATCACATGTGGGAGTCAAACTGGAAACCTTGTTGTTAAGAGCACGTGCTCTCACCAGCTAAACCATCCTGCCACCTTTTGGCAGCTCAGCTCACGCGCAGCTCACAGGCCCATGTGGGAATCGAACCGGCAACCCTGTTCTCAGAGCACATGCTCTAACCAACTGAGCCAACCGGCCGGCCCTAGTTTGATTTCTTGTTTTCAGCAAGTTTTACACAAGTGCAGAATGTTTTCTTAAAACTATAAAGCACAGAGTATGCCTTATTGTTGTTTCTGGGAAGGGCAAATGTCACTAACAGGATATCTTAGAAGTGGGACTGAAATCACAAGATTTTGCTTCCCGGGTTTTGGAAATATTCCTCTCAGTCGCCAGGAGAAGGGATTCACTGACATACACAGTGACTATGGCATTTACCTGTGGTGTGGGGAAATGTAAATTCAATTACGTCCTCCTCTCCTTTCCTCCATGCCATCAGAATGAACTTCATGTCCTTAAACTCAGACTTCATGGGACCTGGCACTGCTTTTCTCATGGGCTCCAAATCTGGTCTTTTCAGTGACAACATTGAGATGGAGTCCCTCAAAAGAGCCAGGACCCATTGCTCTTTTTTTTATTTTTTATTGCGGATCTTTAAATTCTGCCGTTTTCATTAAACTTCCTCAGAATCAAGGTCTGCTTGTGAAAGGAGTTAGTGTATTAAAAAAAATTGTTCCTCAGCTCCCTACCTTTTGCTTTTCAAATAATCAAATAAAGACTTCCTCGGGTTTTGTAGCTTTTCCTTTTTTGTAGTCCACAGAAATAAGGGACATTGAAAGTTGCTGTATACTATGGTCACCCATGATCTGCCTGAAATATCATGATTTTTAATGAAAATAAGCTTTAATAACACAGACACACTTGGGGGGGAACGGGAGAATATGAATAAGAACAAATCACAGGCTTGGTTACAATATGCCTGGGCTCTTGTTCCATGTTCATCAGACAACCTTCTGAGGGTTGATTTGAGCTCTCAACTGTCCTGATGATAGAAAGAGTGAGCTGTAGACACTGAGCATAAGGGCTTATTTGTGGAAACTGACATTCTAATTTTAAAACTAGAATGGAAATTCAATTATATGGAATTGAAATTACATGGAAATTCAAAGAACCTAGAAAGCCAAAGTAATCTTTTAAAAATATTGTCAGAAGATTTACATTACCAGCTGTCAAGACTTACTGTAAGCTACAATAATTAAGAAAATATGGTATTGGTGCAAGAATACAGAGACCAATGGACGAGAATGAGCTCCCAGGAAGAGACAGTTACATGATGAACAACAAAAACAGGACCACGGACTACAACTAAGGGGGAAAGCTAGTCTTTTTATAAATGGCACTGGATCAACTTGACATCTATATGAAAAAGATCGACTCCTACCTCACACTATAAACAAAAATTAACTCAAAATGGAGCACAGACCGAAATGTAAAACTAAAACCAGAAAACTTCTAGAAGAAAACAGGAGAAAATCTTAGTGATTTTAGGTTTGGCAAAGAGTTCTTAAATATGACACAAAAAGCATAAACTACAAAAGAAAAAGATTGATAAATTGGACTTTATCAAAATTAAAAACTTTTACTTTAAAAGGCAAGCCACAGACTGGGAGAAAATATTTGCTGACTATATTGGACAACTACGTAGCATTAAAGAACTCCTTATACTCAATAAGAGAATCCAGTGGGAAAAAGTGGGTAAAAGTGTTGAACAATGTCACCAAGGAGGGTAACAAATAGCACCTGAAAAGATACCCAACATCATTAGCTGTGAGGAAAAAAATTAAAAGCAAAATTTAGACAACACCCACTAGAATGACTAAAAATAAAAAGGCTTACCATACAAAGTGTTGACAAGCATGTGGAGGAACAGAAACTCTTTCACTACTGGTAGGGCTGTCATCCAAACATTCTGGGAAAAGTGTGATAGCTTTTCATGGAGAGGTAAACATACACCTACCATGTGACCCAGCCATTCAAGAGAAATAAAAGCACGTGGACACACAGTAAGACTTGTACATGGGTGTTCATAGCAGCTGGACTTGTAATGGTCCCCAAACTGGAAACAACCCATTTCCATCAAGTGGATGGGAAAACACATTCTATATAATGGAATACTACTCATCAATAAAAGGAATGAATTGTTGATAAATGCAGCAACCTGGATGAATCTCAAAATAACTATGCTGTAAGAAGCTAGTGCAAAACAAAGTACACACTAACAAAGTACACATACAATTCCAGAAAATGCAAATGAATAGTGTTGAGAGCAGAGGGAACTTCTGAAGATAATGGATATCTTCACTATCTTAATTTTGGTGATTTTTTTAATTTTTATTTTGGTAGTGATTTCATACATTATCAGAACATACCAAATTGTGTATTATAAATATATGTAGTTTATTGTCAATTATACCTTAATAAAACTGTTCAAGGAAAACATTTTTCAGAAGATGGCGCTATCCGGCTCTGCCCCAGGGTGTGAGCTCCCCTGGAGCTGGGTCTGATCCCTTGTAGAGCCATGCAGGAGGCTGGATCAACTGGGAGGCCCCTGGAAGAAACCCTTGGAGTCAGAAATGCCAAATAGAGGTGATGGCAGTCAACTGGGTGTGCTTGGCAGGTAGGGTTGACTTCATTTCCTTCCACCACCTCAACACATGGTGCTTGTTCTTCAAACACGCCCAGCTTCTTCCTGCCTCTAACCCGATCTTCACGTAGCTGGGGTCTCCTCATCACTTAGGTCAGCATGAATGTCAAGTGCCTTCATTGAGCATGTCTGAATTAGTTCCTACCCCTCACCCTGTCCTAGGCATTTTACTTCTCTATTTTCTTCATTGTATATATCACAAATTCTTATTCAGTTATTTCATTTTCATTATGTAGTCTCTTCCTCCTCCTCTACGCCACTGGCACCTCACAGAGCTCTTTTACTGGGAGTGCACCCACCCCATGGGTGCCTTAAGTGTTGGTTGACAGCTCACAGTTCCCCCTGCCAATGACTGAAATGAGAGGAGGAAGGAGGAGGGTACAAAAGACTGGGTCCTGGTGATAAGGAGGCCAACCTTTGTGGTGGTTTCTATAATTCCCCATGGGATCGGGCTGAAGCTAGTCTCTCCGAGGCCACGCTCTTGCTTTGTCTCTTTTCCCTGCCCTGTCCTGCTTCCCTTCTTCCCTTCTTCCAAGAGCACTTCCCCCAATAAATCATTCAAACAAGAATTCTCATCTCAGGCTCTGCTTCTCGGGAACCTGACCCATGGCAGCCTACATTAGCTTCACAAGAGAATATCTTGTTCACTCCCCTAGAACAAATGCCTATCTCAGGTTCTGCTTATGTTCCCTTCCCTCTAAGAATGATAGCTTGATGACGAAATGCCTTCAACACACTCCTAGAACAGTGCCTGGAACACAGTAGGCACTCAATAAATGTGCTGACCGAAAAAGGGAGAGCCTAGGGTCTGTTTTATGGCTTGGCAGTCAGCACCCTTTCTGTTCTGGGCTGATTCATCTTGGAGGCATTGTGAGTCATAGCAGGTGGACATCAGCTGAGTAGTTCAGAGATGGAGCCAGGCCTGGAACAGAAGCTCGGCACCTCCAACATATCCTCCAGGTAAGGGAAAACACAAAATGAGGATTCTCAGTGAAGGGTCCTCTGGGAAGATGCAACCTCAAGGGTGGGCCTGGTTGCACCTCTTGGGTTCTCTGAGCACTTCCAAAGACCTGTCCCTGAGCTACAATTAGGGGATAGCACCTCCCAGTCTCCACCCAGCTATGTGTGAGGTATAAGTGTGTGTTGAATTGATGAAGGCGTGACAGAGAGAACCCTGCCCCAGAATTCTTTCCCTTTTCACCCTTCACCAGAAGAGGAATTTCCAAGAGGGCATATAGTCCTCTTCTCACACAACAGAATCAGCACTTACGGGAGGCAGGGAATGAGACCTGTCTGTTATCTGGACTTTATCTTCCTTGAGAATGTATTCTGCTTGGGATAAATTGGGACAAAAGTCATGTGTAGTCTGCACAACTTCTCACCTCAAGCCCTAAGCAGAAGTCCTAGCCCATGGCACACGCCCCCAGGATGTAACTGAGCACACTGAACTGTGAACTATCTACACACACATGTGGTTTCCCAGCTGGACCGGCATTATCTAGAGGGCAGGCATAGACTGTGCTGGGTGGGACTCCCTGCGCAGACCAGGGCCTGAAATTGAGCACATGCCAGTTCGAGGTTGTAGAATAACTGAATGATGAGGGCAGTCACACTGCTGGTTATGCTAGACATCCTACCACTTTCCAGAATCCAGATCCAGCCCCGGCTTTGTAATCCTTCAGCAGTGCCCTCGACCCCGTCCAGCTTCCTCTTATGCAATCCCCAGCTGAGTACCTTCCACCAACCTCACCCTAAGCTCTTCCTCACGTCTGGAACACACAAACCTTTCCTGGCTCTTCACTCTCCCTAGAGACTCTCTTTAGCTAGCCCCAGTCCACCTGGTAAAGTCCTGTGCATCTTTGAAGTACCTGTGTCTGCTATCACTCTCTCCTCTCCAGCCCATGAGCCCTCCCAGCAGCTGCCCAGCGCTCAGAGAGCAGTGATTTGGTCCTTCATTGGCACCTTTGTCCCCAGGGCCGGACCCAGAAGTCTTTGGGGAAGGTGGTTTTGGGAGACTGCTGCTAGAGCAAGTGTGCATGGATGGGCTCCTCAGTGGCTAAGCCCTGTCCACCGAGCCTCGCGGTTTTAGGGAGTAGCCAGCACGGAGCAGGCTGCTCACCCAGACCCTTGCTCCCTAGCAGTGAACCTGGCTCGCCTTCATCAATCAGGACACCAGGGGTCCCGACACAAGGGCGCAGCCCCTATCTCCTGTGTCCTCGCAGCTCTGTTCCAGGCACCCCACGCGCCCGCCGAGGGCCCACCAGGCCCTAGCCCTGGAAGCCTTCCGGTGCCTGGCCTTGGGCCACGCCAGCCGCCTGTGGGAGGAGTTACGGCAGTTCTGGGCCGACCACTTCTCGCGGCGCTTTTCGCCGCGGCGTCCGCCGCTACGCCGCATCTCCTCCATGTCCACCTTCTACTTGCTGGACCACCGCACGCGCCAGGCCGAGCTGGGCCTCAACTACGGCGCGCCGCGGACACGTCTCAGCGACGAGGCCTTCGTGTTCCGCGACGGCCGCTGGACTGCCGAGGGCCCGGCAGGGCGGTCTAGGCCGCCGCCGCTCTCGCCTACCATCTCGGGCCGGAATGCACAAGGGCAGCGCGTCAAGAGCCAAGTGCTGCTGGAGGAGAACAACTACCTGAAGCTGCAGCAGGAGCTGCTCATGGACATGCTGACGGAAACCACCGCGCGCATGCACCTGATGGAAAATCAAAACAGCGAGACCAGCACGGCTGACTCGGTGCGCGTCTGGCGGACTGAGCAGGCGCGACGGCGCGGACGGCGTGCCCACGCTGGAGCCGCGGTGACGCAATAAAGTCCGTGCGGCGCTCGCGCGCCTCTTGCCTTTGCGCGCGCCTGGAGCCTTGATGGTGCCCGGCGCAGAGGGGGCGGGGTCGCGCTCCCGCGGGAACCTTACCCTGGTTCCTGGTGTGGAAAGATGGCTTAGCCGGCAGCCCGTCTGGGGAGGGGGCGATAGGGCCGTGGAGTAGGGTTGTGTGCGGCCCGCTAGGAACACAGAGTGGGAGCTAGGCTTGCAGCAGGCAGTGCCGCCGGCGGGGGATGGCAGGGGTGGCAGGCAATGGCATTCTTGGCCCAGGAGACGTAGGGTGAAGTCCTGGAGGCAGCGAAACCTTGGGCGCTCAAGGATGGAGGGTGCGGTGAGGCGAGGCAGGCTGGGTGGATCGGGGACCTTGCACTTGGCCCTCCCAGCCTTGAGGTGCTCGTGGGAGGGGTTTCAGCTTGAGTCCAGGGTAAGTGTGTTTTAGGACCAGGAAACTGTTCCCCTAAAGCAGCTTTCTGGAGACTTTGGGCTCTGCTTCCCCCACCTGGCTGGCTTTTGGCGAGTTGCGTCTCTGCTGCAGGCCTCCTTCTAATGTGGAATGAGGGGAGTCCGCCCGGCCCAGGGTATAATCCTCTACAGATAGGATTTGCCCGACCTACGCTATTTTAAAATTCTGCGTTAGTTGCCAGCATTTAAGAATTTGGAGTATTTCACACAAAAAAATCTAGATTTTCTGTGTTCTCCAGAGAAAGAAGACTTGGCCACCCTGGACCAGCATTCTACCCAGCAGCATTTCCCTTGATCTGAATTGTGGCTGTCACCGCCTAGTCAGCTTCACCCCTCTTTCCCCCTATCGGAGGCTGATTTGGGTGTCGCTCTAGTTGGGTATTCTCTCGCAGGACATGGGAGAGTCCACTCCTCCAATACACGCATACACACAAGGTGTTACATAAGGTGCAACGGGGGTGAGGGGGGCGTATTATACTTGTGAGTGATGTAGTTGCACAACATCACTCAAAAGGTGATGGATGACACTGGCCCTTGTGACCTGCAACCCTTTCCCCTGGAATGTAGACAGGCCATTTAGGCATCCACCAGAAACTTGAGTCCGTAGAACTCTGAACCGTTTCCCTAGGGCCATATGAAACCTGTGAGAGAAGTGGGTATCCTGCCTCAGCCTAACTTGCTTTCAGAAATGGGTTAGGGGTTATGAAACCACTTCTTTGTATTGTCAACTGAAAGTTGAAGTTTATAGGTGTCAGTTCAACAACAGGAAGCCCCAATTTGGAGTATGGTGAAGGGGAATTTATTCAGTGAAAAGAGCTCAGTCATGAAACAGCTCAGATGTGGAACAGCATGGCTGTGAGACAGCCAGGGCAAGGAGGCCTGTGTTTCAGTTTCAGCTCAGCTCTGGTGCTCCAGCCCACTGGCTGAAATACAATTCCAGGAACCCCTTTGGAAGAACTGTCTCAGCCATTCGGAACACAGTAGGCAGGCAGTGCAGTGCAGCCTTCTCCCTGAAGCACAGAGAGCATGAGAGGCCCCCGTTTAGCAATGACTGTTAAACTTTATAAATTGGTGCTCAGTTAACCACCAGGAGTCCTTAACAGGCACAACATTCTCGGGGTCCACAGTATAAAAATGTGACCTGATGAAATTAGCAAAACGTCATTAGACACTAAGCTTAAAAACATTTTTTTGAACAGTGCTCTTGTATTTTAATTCTGTATATTAATATAGATTAAATAAAATATTTAAAGTAGTTATAATTGTGAAATAAGATTTAAAATAACCAAGAAAATAAAAAACATACAGAAAAGGAAATGAAAAGGGAATAAAAATGATACACTAGAAAAAAAATGAAGGCATTAATGGAGAAACTATAGTAAGTGAAAGAAGCAAGACACAAAGAACCACATAATGTATGATTCTATTTATATAAAATATCCAGAATAGGTAAATCCCTGGAGACAGCAGGTTGGTTGTTGACAAGAGCTAGGGGAAGCAGGGAGAAGGGGGTGACTACTTAACAGGTACAGGAGTTCCTTTGTTTTTTTTAAAGATTTTGGGGAATTGGGGGAGGG